CCGAGCGCACTGTGGACACAGAGCCAACAGGGCCTGCCTCCCAAGTGTGCACTGCGGACACAGAGCTGACAGCCCTGTCCCCACACACAGCGTGGACACAGAACTGACAGTGCCCGCCTCCCCAGTGTGCACCACAGACACAGAGCCGATAGCCACCCGGTGTGCACTGTGGACACATGGCAGTCAGAACCAGTCCCTGGTGCACACTGCGGACACAGAGCCGACAGTCCACGGCACACACTGTGGACACACAGCGGTCAGCGCTGGTCCCCTGAGTATACCACGGACATAGAGCCGACAGCCCACGCCCCCCTCGACACGCACCTCGGACCCAGAGCCACCAGCACCCGCTGGGTACCATGAGAGACAGCCCAGCCCCTTGTGCACTGTGCACATGAAGGCCGTCGGCACTCATCCCCCGTGTGTACCATGGACACAGAGCTGCCAGGACCCACTGGGAGCCATGAGGGATGGCCCAGGCCCTCGAGCGCTGTGGACACAGCTGTCAGCACCCGTCCCTGCACACGGCACGGACAGAGAGCCGCCAGCGCCTGCCTCCGCCACGTGCACTGCACACACAGAGCTGCCAGGACCCGCTGGGCACCGTGAGAGACAGCCCAGCCCCTGGCATGCTGTGGACCCAAGAGCTGTCAGCACTCATCCACTGTGTGCACCACAGACACAGAGCCGACATCACCCGTCTCCCCCACGTGCACTGAGGACACAGAGCCGTCAGCGTCCTCCGCCCCCACTCACACCGCGCACAGAATTGTCGGCACCTGCTGGGCACCGTGAGAGACAGCCCGGCCCCTTGTGCACTGAGGACACAGCCAGCAGCGCTGGTCCCCGTGTGTACCACTGACACAGGGCGGCCAGCGTCCACTGGGAGCCATGAGGGATGGCCCAGGCCCTCGAGCACTGTGGACACAGCTGTCAGCACCCGTCCTCCATTCTCACTGTGGTCACAGAGCGGTCAGCACCCTCCTGGCACCACAAGAGATGGCCTGTTTGGTGGCCCCCAGAAAGATATGTTCAAGGCCTAACCCTGTGAACGTGACCATATTGGAAATGGGGTCTTTGAAGATGGAATCAAATTGACATGAAGTGACCCTGGAGTTGTGGTGTGCTGTAGAATCGATTCCAACCCACAGCGCCCCTAGAGGACAGATCAGAACTGCACCAGAGGGTCTCCAAGGCTGTCAGTCTTCACAGAAGCAAAGCCCAAACCACACCCACTGC